AGAAATTCCCTTGCCGTAAAAAAACGGAAGAACAAAAAATTAAAGGGGTAAAAAATTTTTTTGTTTTTTTTTTTTTTTTTTTTTTTTTTTTTTTCTCCTATTGCTTCTCGTTTGCAATGAAAAATATTTACAACAGGGTCACATGGAAAAAGAACAGATGTGTTTTTGCAAATCTAACTGCATGGCTGCAAGATTTTGCTTTTACTCTTTTTCTGTTTACAAAGCCAATAGATTTAAACTGCACACCTTCACACCAGTCAAGCAAGGACAAATTAATTTGTTTTGCACCTTATTTAAATCCCCATGTCATCTACAACCATCAGGACCAAGACATTTAAATGTGAAAGAACATTTGTTACTTCTTTTCTCAGTGACTCTGTGCAGCAGTGATTGGAACAGGCAGTTAAAATCAAAAGCACCACTTTGTCTTTGATAAAGTGTTTCATTTAGAAAAGATAAGGTTTTCTTGAAAAGCATTTAACTCTATCAAAAAAAAAAAGTTAATAACGTGCATTTATTTCATGTTTTTTCCCCTTCCTTGCAACTCCTGTTTTCATCCCTTCATCTTTCCCCGACTGCTGTTTGTTTTCCCATCATTCCCCTTGTCCTCCAAGGCACCAACTGGCATATTTAAATGTCTTTAAACACTGTTCCCCTCACCAGTGCTTTTATGTGTTTGTGTTTGAGGCCTACGTAGCAATTTAGATGTCTCTCCAAAAAATGGCATATTATTTAAACATCACTGGAGCCTTTCTGTGTTTCTGCTGTTTGTTGTTTTCCTTGACTCGGGAACAGAGTGAAGATTTGTGCTCGTAAATTGGTGTCCCTTGCAGAGCTTTTATGTGTCCTTTTGTCTTCCTCTCGCTCTTAAAGGTGTTGTTTTCTCTGTTGTCCGTCTCTTGCCAGGGAATCTCCCCGAAAGTGGAGTTTGCGACGACGTCAGTCATAGAGGAGAGTGATTGGCGAGACAGCTGGGTTCCTTCGCCTGTAAGTGTTTCTGTTTGAAACGTCTTTGTGTGTTTGTTTGCTCTTGGCATAAATATATGATCCCACATGTCCTGAGCGCTAAAGATTGATCTACAGAAGACCTTAATGAGTGGTGTCGCTTGCCATCACATTCGTCTGTTTTCACTAAACATACCCAGCCTCTGTTGTTGCTATGACGACTGTCCATACGAGCAGCGTTTCGAGGGTGTTTGTTCCCTCTTCGCGAATGTAATTATGGGGAAGCAGATCAGCGGTGCTGATACAGAGGCGTCTCTCTCATGTTCCTAAGTTTTCACACAATATCACTTTCCATTTTCATTTTGGAAGTCTTCACGTCCAGATAATCATGTTATCCTTTATCATATTTTTTTTTTTCTGTTATGATTTTTATCCCTCTCCTTCATTTTTCTGGTGTACCTCAATAAAGTAAACTTCAACAATTCAACAGTAAGGGTACAACTTGATAATCGGTTCATTTTGGTAATGGTTTGCAGCTAAAATCTGTTTTCTCAGATTATTTAAGAGCTGCACAAGACTAATTTACAGATATATGTCGTTTATGTATATCTAAAATTCACCGAATCAAAGTCGAGGCCTATTTTGAAATTTCGTGTCTGTGATGATCTAAGGAGCCATGTACTCTTCTGCTGTTGGTCCATTGACTAAACTCAGAGAGGTTGTGTGGCAGATAATTTAAGAGCACTTAAAACTCTTCTCTCTTGAAAACCTTCCACAGGGATTATAACTCCATTTTCTCACAGAACTTGGTACCTGGCCAAACAGTCGGTACTTTTGGTGCTTGAGTAGCAAGCAAATTTGTCTAAACTAAATCTAAATCTATCCGTCAGGATAGTAATTGATGAAATGACTAATATGAATGATAATCTGTTGTACAGTTTGTTTTACATCAGTCATGTTCTGTTTGAGCACAATTGATCTCATTCAAAGGGACCCAAGAAGAGTTAAAATCAGCATGAATGTAAATTTGTCACAATCTCTTTGCAGCATGCGATCTTTCACACAGTGGTTGGCATGTTGGCGCCAAGCAGACTACCATGCATCTCCCAGGTGCAGTCACCTAAGCTAAGCTATTAGTTTGAATGGGATGTCAGTGACAGCGAAGCAGATTGTCACAGTGTTGTGCAGCGGCCCCTCAGGGGGATGCCTGGATCAGAGCACCGCTGTGGCTGTCAGACAGTAGGATTTCTCCATTTTCTCTCTCCTAATGGCTTCTCAGCATAGGCATTTTCCTGACTACATGTCTCCCCTGCTGACAAGCCATGTTGTTTACTAACACAGCTTCAGGAGGAAGGCGTCTCCCGCAAAACCTCGGTACCCATCAGTATGAACACAATCGTTACCAACATTTCAACTTCAAAATAACATCTTTTGATGTGATTCTTTTGTATGAACGATTTATAGTCTTTCACCCCCCCCTCCCCCCCTTTCTCCACGAAAGCTGAATTACCGCTAATTTGCTATAATCGAGGTGTATATGAATCCAATTTTTGGGCTAAAATATTGATGAGTATATATGAATACTCTCAAATTGTTATTTTAAAAGAATCCCCCAAAAGAGGTTTCGACCACCATAATGTTTATACCATAATTTGAGTATAAACTCAATAAAATCGTAATCCGCTAAGCAGATTTTAGTGGAATAACAAATTCATCACGGACATGCATGTCCTTTTCAGGCATTTTCCGTAACTACTGTCCTCCATGAAATTAACTTAAAATAAATGCGTCTTTTATTGCAACAGCATAATGTTACATTGAAATGTAAAAGAAATGTGCCTTTGAGTACATTATTTGGTCTGTATCTGCCTTGCATTACAATGACATTAGGAGACATGCCTTGCATACATATTTGCAGAGAGAAAGAAATTTGAGTTGACAATAAAAATATTTGCTACTATACTTTGCAGAGATGCTGTTTTTTCACTCATGTCCAAATGTCAAATGCTTGCTATGGCTCCAACGCAAGGGCCACTTGACCTATTTTTCTGATCAATTCAGATCATTTTTAACTCTTAAACTGTCTAGTCTGCTTTAAACTTTCAGTCCAAGATGCTATGGCGATCTTTAAGTAGAGGAAGAAGAAAAATTAGATAGTAAACCAGTCTGTCCTTATGCAGCAGTACATTATACATCTTATATCCTTAATATCAATGCACATACTATAAAAATGGGGGTTGCACAAACGCTCCACTTCATAGACATGATTTCACCTAATGCATCAAAAAAGGGCTTAATTTATTTATGCTTCGACCCCATAGGTTGAGATGCTGCACAGCTGGAAGGAGTTTTGTTCTCACTTACATGTTATAGTGGCAACAAGTATTGTTTTACCACTAGGAGGAGCTAACTAGCATCCCAAAAGCCTAAATAATACTTGAACTACGGCCTCAAAGCTGTTAGTGTGGAATACCGTACCTTCTGGCTGGAAATTGACGTTAGTTTTTGAATTTGAATTGATTTATAAAAAGTAATTTCAGATACTGTCACGGTTGTTGTAAGATTAACAAGACCAGTCAGACTAGTTGTATAATTGTTTTTTGTCAAAATGGCAGAAACCACAGTCAGTAAACTTAAAGTATTACTGAATAACTTTACATTTATATTTTACTTTGTATAGGGACTTTTAATTTGTAGCACACAACTTCCTTTTTCCCCCAGGTTATGAATAACAACCAACGCCCATGAGCTCCTTTCAGTCAGGCACAGTTCTGCTCAGTTTTGTCTTTTCTCCCAGAAGTTGTCATTTTAAAATTTCGCACTTCCATGTTTGCTTTGTGACTGTGGGGATTTAAACATGATATAAGGATTAACACTGAGACAGAAGCAGCTTCACAGAGCTACGAGGATAGCTGTAGACGTTAACCTTCCTGTTATTTATCAACATGCCAGGCTCTGTCGAATGATGTCTTTATCCTCTAAAAACCTGTGGTGAAAATCACAGCTAATCACATTAGTCAAGCCTTCTGTTCGGAGCTGGGGACTGGAAAAAATAACTCGCTTTCGGTTTCTGTCCAGCAACGGAAAAACAGATAGGAGTCACAGATGTGGGGGACTCAGGGACGGGAGCATATGTCCTAATTCCATTATATCAGATTATTGTCAAATGGCAGCTTTGATGATGATTTATTCATCGTTTGGTTTCTCTTAAAAATAGTTCCAATGTGCTGTGATTTTTCTAATTAGCATTTAGATTATCTTTGTTTTACAGCCAGCCAATGTCTCTTTATCATATTAGTCTAAGAGATGGCCATCAAATGCAATTAACATTTTATCTTAACTTATTTATCCCTGGTTGGCATTACCTGCAGGATGTGAGATATTGCTTTAGAGAATGATGTTAGTGGCCATTAGAGTTATTGGAGTAATTCTGCAGAGGTTGTCTCCATGGCAGTGTGGACCGCCAGAGCTGTTTTCTTATAACACTTAAGTGGAATCATTTAGCTAATGGTTTAATGGTTTTGTCCAGCGAGAGCAAGTCTGTCAAGACTGAGAGCAACGGCCTTAATGGCTAAAGTGGGGGATGTTGTCATAGAAAGGAATAAATTATGGCCTTCAGAGAACTTTGAACTTGCTCAGATGTTGTGCGTTACATTAACATTTAGACGAGTGTGTCAGCATGTTAAAAGAAAGTTATCGGCCTTCTCTCTCGCTCTCTGTTACCAAAAACAGACCTGTCGTGTTTCTCCTTTGAGGCCGTGCAAAACCCCGCCTCCGCAAAGACCAACAGAGAGGTTTTCACCGCAAAGCAAAGCATACGGTGTTGATCCAGACTGCGTCGTGGTCAAAGACGGTGAGAAAAAGCCAAGCGTCAAGGCCGTGGTCGCCAACCGTCCTCTGACATCAACGTCTAGACATTCTCCCTTTGCCTCCCCGTCAGACTCCAGTCCTCAGACAAACAAGAAGGGCAGGAAACGGGGAGCTTCTGAGGACGCCGGGTACCAACGGCATACAGTTTCCTCCAGGGCACGAACTCTGTCTCCTTACACGCACCGCAGGATGTGCGAGCTGACCGAGGAGAGCAGGCAGCGGATGAGTCACCTCCACCTGGGGCCTCACCACTTTCGCAAGTCAACGGAGAAGCAGCCACCCTTTTTGGTTTGTGTTTGTTTTGTGTGTTTTCTTCCCCCCTCCAAAGAAACATAAAAAGGGAATCTAATAGCGGGTAGGGCCAGGATTTCACA